CAGTCTGGTTTGTGTGTGATACCAGTTTATCAGCCTCACGGTGTGAATGACATCTGTGTGTGCTCTGTTGTGTGACTGCCGGCCGGTAGTCAGTCTGAATCCAGAAGTCCTCACAGCAGCTCACAAGGTTTCAATTCAGGAAGAGGGCAGAGCTCTCAGGGCCAGTTCTGAAAGATCGGAAAGACCGCTGATGTCTTTCCCCCTCCACCATGCCTCCTTAGGTACCAGAGTTTTAGGATTTTGTTTTGTTTTGCTTTCTCATTTTCCGGTATTGTTGCTATCAATATGTCCCTTTCAATAATGAACTTTACATTTTTTTTTTAAATTCCCTATTTTCATCCAAACCTTTTAGTCCAGAAGGATTGTATGCAAGAGGGACAAAAGCATTCATACAGGAAAACATTTTTGTCCAACTTAATCAGCAAGACACATTGTATTGAAGAATTGGTTAGCACAAAAGTCTTGAATCTCTCATCCTTTGCTGTCATGTTAATCTCTTACATATTTGAATCTTTAGGAAAGGGGTTGAAGGGATTAGATGGCCCTTGTAGGGTCCTCCACAAATACTGAGATGTCAGAATTGTAAAAGAAGGATATACAATTGAAGGATGGGAGCAAAAAGCCTGACCAAACAGGTGCAAGTGAAAAGTGTCCTTTTGGGGAATTGCTGCTTTGAGAACCCAGAATGTTTGCCTGAGATGTGTAGTCCAGGCTGGGGTTGTCTTATCTCTTACCATCAGCTGCAAAATTCCATCCATTAATTGTCCATTAAAACGCTCAGTTTCCCCTGGGGCTTGAGTGAGGCATGAAGCATGAAGAATCCACTATATGTCCCATGATTAGGTCCACTGATTTGTAGCTTGGGCTGCAAACCCAGGGCCGTTATCAGAGGCAAAGTGCTCAGGAAATCCAAACAGGAAACAAATGTGGCATTGTAGGGTCTGGATAGTGGGGCAAGCTTGAGTCAGTGGAATGTATGGGCTGGCTAGGACACATGCAATGAAAGAATCAACTGTAGACAGGATCGAATGAGATCCTCTGATGGGACAAGAGGTTTGATGTGAGGCAGGATGTTTCACCTGCCAAGAATATACTCCACCCCGTGGCCTGGGGAATCTGTACCCTGGCCTGCCTTCAGCAAAGATTCTGTTGGTCATTTTAGCCATATTTACCCTTTTGGTGATTTTCTTAGTAATGTTAGTAATTTTCCATCTAAAGTCTGACCCTACTCCTTGGCTATAAATCCATTTTCCTTATTATATTCAGAGTTGAGCCAATTGCTCTCCCCCACTACAACACCCCATTGTAGTAGCCCCCCTGGAATAAAGTCCTCCTTACCTTACATCTTTAACAAGTGTCCTTCCTGAATAGTTTATTTTCTTTAAATGGTGGTGGCTTTAGACCCCAAATCAGAGAGCATTATCTATTTTTCCTTCATTTTGGTGCCAGGGATTAAGGGACCACAGGAACCAGTGCATGGATATGTAAAATACCTGAAAAGTGCAATTCTCTTTAATCTGGTCCTTACTAGAGACAGAGGGGCATCCACTTAACTCTTAGTCTTGCTTGTATCTGAAAGCAGACACATCAGGGCAAAAGTGGCAGGGCCCTCTCACCGCCTCGGGCTCCAGAGGAAACCGTGGTCCCTGGATGAGTCACAGGGGTGGCCCTCAGGATTGGAACACGGGGAGGGACCGGAGAGCTGGTGGCACAGTGCAGGCAGATGGATTTGAGCTGAGCCCAAGCTTCCCCTAGGCTTTCCTGGCCGTGCCTGGAAGCGTGTGGCTGCTGCTGGTGTTCTGCTGGGGCAACAGCTGCTGTCGGGGCCTCCAGTTCCCTCTCCAGGACGGGGCTTGTACTGAGGGCTACTGCCATTCTCCCTTACCAACTGGAGCAACACTGCTTACTTCCAAAGACGATCTGATTAAGGCTCTAATATCCTTTCAGGGCTGCTGGGCAAGTGGATCCCAAAGGGCTCTACACTCTTTTTTCTTCCTGAAGTGTCAACATCTGCCTGCACTGCAGAGTGTCTATCAGGGCCAGGGGCCTGTGTAGAGTCACTCAGCTCCCAGAAGGCCATTGGCTGTTCCCACCTGGCAGGGCACCCTGGGCAGTGGCTGGGGAACAGCTTCCCTAGCTTTTTTCAAACCCCTCTGGGTGAAGAGGCCCCCGGTGATCCCCAAATCCTGGTGTTCATGCTTTTGTGCAATCCCTTCCTTTAGAGAGAAGGCAGAATTTGTGAATTCCCTGTGGCCGATGGAATGTGGCAAAGGTGATGAGCTGTCATTATGGTGGGTTATCTAAGGCTGCCTCCCTAGAGGTGCTTTCTCCTGCTGGCCTTGAAGAAGTAACAGCCACATTATGAGCTTCCTATGGACAGGCCCACAGAGCTAGGAATTTTGGACACTCTGTAGAAGCTGAGGGTCTCAGTCCTGCAAGTGCAAAGTGCAAGGATTCTCCACCAAAAACCTAAGTTAGTTTAGATCCAGACCCTTCCCTGCTCTCACCTGTAACTTAGGCAACACCGTGTGTGCATCCCGGCAAGATGCTAAATGAGAGAACCTAGAAAAACTGTGCCCAGGCTCCTGATCCACAAAAATTGTGACATAATAATTGTGCATTCTTTTAAGCCCGAAAGTTAAGCCTGCCACTAACTTCGTGGTAGTTTGTTGGACGGCAGGAGAACATGAATTCAATTTTATCTAGTATGTTAAGTTGAAGAGGCTATTATGATTATAGGGGATGATGAGAATGAAGTTGTTTTTACAGTAATGTAATATTTACTTTAGAACTGGATAGAAAGGAATTTTAAAGACTGTGATTCTTTACTCAAATTATTCTATTTCTTGAAATAAAGCAAAGTTAATTATTTTAGAATGAATGAATGTGCTTTCTTAAAATCATTTATTTCAAGTCAGAAAAGAAACCAATAAAAACACTAATAGGCACGAGTCTGGGGCAGTACTTTTGTGCTAGAAGACAGCAGGTTATCACCAATTTCCTAGTATTTAATTCCCACAACATCCCCATCAGGTAAGTTTTATTATTTTTATTTATTTTATACACGAGAAATTGAATCCCATAGAACTTAGTTAATTTGGTAAGGGCCGCAAATGAACTATATCATCATTATGCAAAATTTGATCTGTTTTCAGAGGCCAGTCCAATTCCAATGTTCACCGTCTACACCGTCTACACTAAAAAGCGGGATATTTTCTTCATGTCATCTACAATAGAACGGTGGCCATGAAGAAGCTTGGCATAATATGCCTATGGTCATGACCTACTTCCATCTCATTTAGGATTAAGCATATCAAATTGCATTTCATGGCACCTAAGGTTTTCCCTAAGGTGCACCAGGCTTCCCCTGCAGGTAGCATTTCCCGGCTCTCCCTTCTTCCCCACATCCTTGGGAGTCAGGCTGCTGCCCTCTCTGTGGTGTGGTGCAGAGGAGAGCAACAGATGCTGGAGTAACACACAGCTCCCTCTCTCACTCTCTAGCTTTGGGACCATAGGAGAAAATTCTAATGGTTTATAAACTTTTTTTTTCTAGTTTATAAATTCTTTTAATCTCCTGATATAAATATCTCCCTCTTAAGATATTTGTGAAGACTAACCAAGAAAATATTAATATATGTACATGTATTTATACAAATGGTTACGTGTATATATACCCATAGGTGTACATATATATGTGTGTGCATATAGATAGACATGTAAAGATATATACACTGATCCCACGGCAGACATTTTCATTTTTATCCAGTGTGGCCAAGATACTCATCTTTCTCTAAGGTCCTACAAATCTTGATTGAAATTTTGTATAGTGGCGTAGCCTGCCCTAATTTATAATGCATGCTTCTCAAAGAACAATCTGTGTCTTCACTGTCCTAGGTAGTTCTATCTTTCATTTCATATTCTTTAAAGAAGAAGAAGGAGAAGGAGGAGAGGATGGAGAAGGATGGGGAGGAGGAGGAGGAGGGGGAGGAGAAGAGGGAGAAGGGGGACAATGAGGGGGGAGAGGGAGAAGAGAGGGGGAGAGTGCAGAGGGTGGTAAATGCAGTGGCATACTCAGGTGTTTCACCACAAGGAAAAGAACTGAGCACCAGAAGGCTGTCTCTCATAAGCACAGCTGAGCCTAGACCTGACCTTCTCTACAGGACACGTCATGAAAAGCCATACTGTCTGCATGGGATTTTAGGATCTGAGAAATGAGACTTCAATAGAATCAATTATCATTTTATTAAAGCAAAACCAAAACAAAACAAAACAAAAAAATTGTTTCTCATCGATACAGCTTTCTTTTTTCAGCAATAAAAATATTTATTCTTACATATAAGACTCTTAGGTAAGTGCTTCACATCTAATAAAATTTGGTTTCTCAATGTGACCCTAGGAAATAGGTAGAATCTTTAACAGCAATTTTTATTTTAGGAAAGTGAGACCAAGAGATGCTAAGTAAGTTGTTCAAGTTTACACGGCTTTTAAGTAATGAGACAAGATTTGACCTCAGAAACTCTGAGCACCAAAAATCTACTCTTGATAAATATTTTTTTTATGTGCTTCTGCTTGAACTCTGTGATACATAAAGGGGTGCCATTGATAAGGCAATACACTCTGAAGGATCCAGTACCTAGTGACAGATTCCTATGCATTGTTCTATGTCCTATGCACTTAGATAGAATTGATAACTTTTCCTTTGTTAATTCCATTAAACAGCAGAAGGAATGAGGAAAAGAGATGTCAGAGGAGGTACAGAATAGAAGGGATTAGATGTGTTCCCTTTGTAAATAAGCAGTCTCTCCTAATACTAAGCAAAAACTAATAAGGAAAAATAAAGCATTCTCCCCTAATGAAAACAAAATATTAGGAAGAAAACATCAAGCTTTCACTGCATGGTAGAGATGTGTAAAAGACTGTTGAGTTGACTTGTGTTCCCCCCAAATTCATATGTTACAATCCTAACCCCCAATACTTGAGAATGTGACCTTTTGGAGATAGGGTCTTTATAGGGGTGATTAAATTAAAATGATGTAATTAGGGTGGGTCCTTTTCCAATCTGACTGGTGTCCTTTTAGAAAAAGGGAGATTTAGGCACAGAGAAATGCAAAATGGGAAGATGATTTGAATAGATACTGAGAGAAGACAGCCATCTGCAAGGCAAGGAATAGACCCTTCCCTCACAGCCTTCAGAAAAAAAAACAACTCTGCTGACACCTTGGTCTTAGACTTCCAGCCTCCAGAACTGTGAAACAAGAAATTTCTGTTGTTAGCCTTTGTTTGGGGGGACTTTGTTACAGCAGTCCTAGCAGACTATTCCAAAAACATTCTAAATTGAAAGATGGAGAAAAGAAGGAGATGTGTTCAGAATGGTGCAGATGAGCTCAGGTGTAGATGAACCCCAGGACAAGGGGTGTTACACAGAAGTAGGAGAGGGACTGAGAAGGTTCAGGAAGTCGGTGTGCACAGGGTGATTGGGCGTTGACAGTTCCAAAGATTGAAATATGGGCAAGTAGTCCGAGAAAACTGACAATTAGAAAACTTGTAGATGACTGACCCATGGTTTGTGACATTGAAAAATGAGACAATACGTGCTTCACAGTCTAGGAAAACCCCAACACGACAAGGAGGAACAGGCATAAAAAGAGTCAAGACCTTGGAATCAGAGGTGGAAGACTCCTCAAAGACCTTATACTCAGATCCATTCTGTAACCCAATAACCCAGTAGCCAAATTGAGGTGTGTATCTGGAGTAAACATCTGGACGGTTTACATTCGGATCAAAAACAAACCCAGAGCTCCCTTTTCTCTTGAGGTTTCTTACTTTACTGTACACCCCGAGGATCCAGGCAATCTTCTCAGACACATCTACTTCCCAGTAATACTTCCCTGAGGAGAAATATTGGCAGCCCAAGACATCAAAAGCAGAGAAATCACATAGAAATATATTTTTAAGTGAGAAGTTGTGCACAGCTGTCACTTGTCTTTTATCAGCAGAAAGGGCAATATTCGAAATAGCATTGACTGGCTTCAGGATCACGTCCACTGTAGGAAAAATGACAGGGTCAGGTGATAGATACAGAGTAGGTGTGTCTTGTGACATTGGAGGTGGAATATCAGGAATTGACTGGGAGGAACTTATGTTGATGGGTCAGAGATGAGTAGAACACTTAAGAACTGTTGTATGAATGGGTGTTTGGGGAGGAACACATGAAGCTAAGATCATAGGGCCTGATAGTAACCACAACGTCTAAAAAGGGATCAGAATATGGTGATTTGAAGAACCTGTAACTCCTTCTTACCCCAGTAGCGTTGGACCTCTGTCAGCTCTGAAATGACAAAAGTTTCAATGATGTTGTTAGAAGCAAGGAGTAAACACTGATATCTATCTTCTCACTAGAATAAGGATAGGGAGGGGAGTCCTGTGAGGCTATGAACTGGTGAATGAGATGATGAACCAGACACCTTGACCATTCCCCCTTAGGTCTGATCACACCTTCAGCATTAGAGATCTATCTCTCATTGTCAAGCCTAGATCTTCTCTCATCTAGAAACAACATCCTCTCTCCCATTTTGCCCTGATACTACAAGAATTCCACACCCACAAACTTCCTCTGACTCTCCTTACCTTTAAACACTTGCAGCATCCCACTCAAATCTGGAATTAGGAATGTACTCTTCAGTTTCTTGGAAACAATGTTTGGCTTCTTAAAGGTCCAGCTCTCACTCCTAGAGAAGACAAAAATTGATCACCCCACACTTCTGACCTTGTGTCTCTGCAAGACCACTGTTTCCCTTACTTTTCACTCCACTGATGCACTTGAATTCTCTCCACTGGAGACACTGAGGGGGGGGGAGGATGGAATGAGCACTGATGCTGCAACCAGAAGAAATATGCTCATATCTACCTTTCCATTTACCTCTGTGTGACCTTCAGACGATCACCTCAAAGAAGCTCATGCTCTTCATTCTAAAAAGGAAAAATTACCTGCATACTCTATTCCTTAAAAATGATAAAACTAGATTAAATAATGGTGCCTTTAAAAGGTATTTGATACCTCTAAAAAAAAAGTATTTGATATATGAAGTAATCACTGCCATCTTAGTGGTTCTACCTGGGACAGGCCAAAGATGTGAGTTTCCAGGCAGGTGATCAGTAAAGAAGCTCCAGAGCCCGGCTACTGAAGGATTTAGGTTATCAAGTATGGAGCTCCTGTATTAAAAGTCTGAAGGGTCTCCAAAGCCTCTTATCCCAGTACAGAAGTCCAGATATTGATATTTGAGGTTATATTCTCTGGAGAAACATTACAAATATCTGGAAAAGGAGAAGTTATGACACCAAATTAATAGTGGTCTGAATTTCATGTGTTTGGGAAGACCTTATACTGCCAAGTAGGTAGGCAACTTTAGACACAAGAAGACCATATTTTCAACAAGATGCTAAAGTGTGTAAGCAAGATGAGATTAATTATTGGCACCAGGATGAAAGCCACTATTCCCCAAAACTGGAGACTTTTGGTTTTTTTTTGGAAGTCCAAATAAAACCACTAGAAAGACCTTGTTTCTTCTAACATCAGGAAGAAAATAAATGCAAAGGAGCTGTCCTTGTGGAAAATTTGGGAGCCTGGCAGATGGAAGATAGGGTCTTCTCTGAAATAAGATAGGCACCTATGAAATATGGAAACAAACTGAGGCAGAGACTGAGGTTTGACCAGAATGAGTGAAATCATGGTCTTATTGGCCCTAGCTCTGTGACCTCCCACCACCCAAATTCCATTGAAAACCTTCATCTTTGATCAAAAATTTGAAATGATATAATTCCCAAATTCCCCAGCTCTGTGTTTTTCTTTTTTTAATTTTGATTGATCCCAAGATAACTCTCATGGCTCTAATTCTGTCCTCACATAAAAAAGGACCATACCTGGTCTCCCACACATACCTTTTCAGGACATAAATCATATCCTGGGGAGAAGAGAGAAAACATGAGTCAAGTATAGGATTGCCATATTTAGAAAATAAAAATGGCTGGTTAAAATTTAATTTTAGGTAAATAACAAATATGCTTTAGTTTAAGTATGCCTCCTACAATATTTAGGATACCAGAATACCCTTCTACCAAAAAAAAAAACCAATTTATCGTTTATCTGAAATTAAAATTTAATTATGCATCCTGTATTTTGTCTGGCAACCCTCCCAGGAGTTATAAGCCCTCCTACCTTAAAAAATTTTATCCACCTTAGATCCCTAAAGCCCCTTGGTATGATGTGAATAGATTATCAGAGTATGGAGGACAAAATGTAGAGATAAGACCAAGATCAACCATCCCAAGGACTCATGTGAGGATGTTAGAAAGATGATTTCCAGTATTTGGAGATGGGATATATTTAAAAAGAAGGTAAGAGACTTGACATTTAAAAAAATACATTCATGAGAAGATCTCATTAATTCATTATGCTTTTATTTATCTAGAGACAAATAAAAGTGAAACCCGTATTTGCCAGACATCATTCCAGGCTCTGGAAAGTCAAATATGAATAATCAATAATAATAGTTCTCAAAAAGTATACTTTCTTTTGCTGCAGGTACAAGTAAACAAGAACTTCAAACAAATGTTTCTCTGACTTCCCTCTACTCATTCTATATACCTCCTCTACACTACCTACAAGTAATCTTCCCAATTTTTAAGCATGAAATAAGCCACAGGAGCCAGAACCTGAGGAAGTCTAAAATGTAACTTACTATTTCCCAACTATTTACATTCCATTGTCCAAAATGATACCAATATCTACTCAAGTTACTGTTTTAGAAACTATAATATCCTACTCTGAATTCCAATATTGTATTGTCAGTCCAGTCTATATCCTCAAAATATTTTAGCCATCTTTTTATTCCCAGCATAGCCATTATTTGCCTTATTTTTTGAACAGAAATGTAACAATATATTTGGTTTCCCTCTCTCTAGCCTAACCCCTTTTATACCAACAATGACTTGGCCACCAGTTGGCTCTACATCCTCAGATAAAGTTTTATTCTCTGTATTAAGCTTTTTTTGTTGTTATTGTATATGACTAAAACTGGTTTAAATTTAAAAGAAAGAAGAATAAATTCCAGGGCAGGTGTAACTTTAGTCATACCTAGGTTTTTAAATGAAAATCTTGTCATCAGAATCTGTTCTTCTCAAAATTCTATTTTCCACCTGCAATATTGACTTTCTTCTTAGACTGTATGGAATCAACTTGAATCTCCTGGTTTAAATGATAATCCCTGATATAATACTTAGTGAAAAAGAGAACTTTTCTTTCTAGTCATGATCGTAAAATTCTAAGCCATAAAAATTGACCTAAATTGGGTCAGGTGCATATCTTAAAATAATTACTGCATCATTGGTAAACATATAGGAATCTGATATTCTGATTTACCTAGAATTGAGAGACACATACCTCCCTGATGCTGCTGATTTTATAAAACCTAACCAACTACATGGACTGAGGGTAAGGATGGTTCCTTAATGGGTAATTCAAGAGGTTGTTATAAAAAAAAAAAAAGGTAATGAATTGAGGTTGGACAAACAAATATCCCATACAGCTCATCCCTTCACTGGCTACCATCTCCTCACCCTTTTTAACAAATTATTTCTGCCAAAAAAGGCTCAACATAATACAATGGTTACAATAATTTTAAACATGGATGACTTATATCACATATAAATTATAATTTAAGATCAATTAAAGATCTAAACTTAAGATCCAAAAGTATAACACTGTTAGAAGAAAGCAAAAAGAAAAATCTTCACAATACTGGATTTGGTAATGATTTTTTGGATATGACCAAAAAAAGCACAGGGAATAAAATAAAAATAACTAAGTTGGACCACAACGAAGTTAAATACTTCTGTCCATCAAGGGACACCAGGAAGACAGCGAAGAGACAATGCACAAAAAGGGATAAGATATTTGCAAATCATATATCTGATAAGGTATTAGTATAGAGAATATACAACAAACTCCTACAACTCAACAACAAAAAGCAAACAACCCAATTGGAAAAACGGGGAAAGAATTTGAATAGATGTTTCTCCAAAGAAGATATACAAATGTCCAATAAACCACATGAAAAGATGCTCAACATTATTGGTCTACACTCAGGAAATGCAAATCAAAACCACAGGTATTGCACAGTCTGGACTCAACACAACAAGAAAATCAAACATAAACAGAGATTTGTGTTATTTGACTAAACTTAGTGAAGAGTTGCCTTACAAATGCAAGATGACAGATAACGGGAGCTTTTGAAGAATTTCTCTCCAAATTTTTTGCACTGCCTTTTATAAATTACTAACAATGGCAATTTCCCTTGTCGTTCATACTTTGAATTATCCCTAGGACACTTGAAATGACAGAGAAGAGGTACTGAGGGGCCCAAGAGCCTTGAATGTCACCAGGGGGAAGAAAGTGCGGGGACCCAGCAGAGAAGGAAATTTTGTCTCTGTATTGCCCCTGAATCTCATCATGTAGGAGCTCCAACCCAAGACTTACCTGCACTGTGTCTGCTGACGACCCCCATATCTGATGCTCAATGTCTGAGATGAGCTCTTTCAAGCACTGCTTCTGCCGGGCCAGCTGGTCTCTGGCCACTACCAAGTTATCCAGCACATTCACTTCATCTTCCTCCAGCTTTTGCAGCACCCTCTTCTCCTCGCTGTCCAGGGTGGCTCTTATTTCATTAAACCCTTTCAGAATCCTTTGTCTCTCAGTCTGCATATGATTCTTTGGGGATGAGAAGAGAAAGAGGCAGTCAGTCTGTCTGGCCAAGGGCCTACATTGTCTGGGCCTGGGAGCCAAGACAAGAACTATTTTCCTCAGGGACTTCTCAAAGAGGAGGGAACAGGCAGTGAGCAACTACTGAGAAAGCCATTTCCCCACTATTTTCTCTTGAGTTTCTCCCAAAGGAATATATTAAAGTCTACTTTAACAAGGCCCACCCTGAGACACAAAGTGACACCTGGATGAGGCTTGGATTGCAGACACCTGTCCTGGATAATCATGCCACACTGCATAGGAAGACCTTCCACCCACAGCTCCTAAGTAGGGAATGCTGGGCTTTTCTCAGTGTGTTTTCTGGAAGTATTAGTGCCTCAAAGTTGATGATGGATATGGGACATGGGATTCATGAGTCATTTTTGCATTGCTTTCCTCCATGCCTTCACCTCCAAATATTTGGTTTCACTTGTGATATTTGTACTCTCTGGCACCCAACCCCAACAGGGAAGGAATGAAATGAGGACTAATTGAGAATCCCCTGAACTCATTAATTCTGAGGTAACAGAGGAAGGGGCCTCCTTGTGACTGGACTGAGGTGCTGCCCAGTTTTCTGTTTCAGAACTCCCTCAGGAAATATCTCTTCCTGCCTTCCAGGAAGCTTTCTCCTCCCTGATGTCAGCTTCCAACTCCTCCATTTTTGGCTGCTCCTTCCTCAGCTTCTTCAGAGCTGCCTGGAGCTTTTCCTGTGAGAAAAGAATCACCAGAATCAAGCTATGAGCTTTCTTAGCACCTGGATAGAGGAAAGAAAACAGACTCCTCTCAGAAGAGACTAGGTTACAGAAATGAAACTGGTGATTAGAATCTAGGATGTAGACAAAAATCTGAAGAGATTAATGTACTCTGTATCCCTGGGTGCTGCAAGCTACCATCCCTTGATTAAGAGTAACCTGATTATCTCTTTTCCTAGAGGAAGAACTGATCCTGCAGCAAGGAAAGTCCTTTCATCTCAGTGACATGTTCCCCACATCCAACCAACCGTGTTCCCTAGAAACCCTTCTGCTCAAAGGCACAATCAGAATATATCTTGGGAAGCATTTCTCCACTCATCCAACTGCTCTTTGTAGCCTAGACTTATTTCTGATCAAATGAAAGAATGCACAAAAATATCCTTTAAATCTCAGAAGCTGAGCAAAGGGTATGGAAAGAGATAGCAGAGCTCAGTTCTATGATGACTAAGGGAAGAAAGTAGTTTAAAAAAGTGAAGGATTCACTTGAGGTACCTTTCTGCCCCATCTACCTTCACCCTTGGGCCTACCTGACATTCCATGACCACCTTTTCCATGAAGAATATTTGATGACCATGGTGCTCCACAGACCGGGCACAGTGCTGGCAAATGGCTTTCTCATCCTCCTTACAGAAGATCAGGAGTTTTTCTCCATGGTGCTTACAGAGATTTTTCTGCTGTGGGCTCACGTTCTCCCTGACTTTCTTCACTATATTGGCCAGGGGCTGATTAGGTCGGAGATTCCAAAACTGGTATTTACACTGGCATACTGGGCAGTTGCTTTCCCCTCCTTGGAGGGCCCCTGACTCCTTACTCTTTGCAGTGATGCAAGCTTGGCAGAAGCTGTGGCCACAGTCCAGGCTCAGGGGCATTGTCAGAAGATCCAGGCAGATGGGGCAGGTCACATCCTTCTGTATGTTCACCTGCACTGGAAAATCCATTGCAGCGTTCCCCTGGCTTCTTCTGTCCTGACAACTGAGGCTGTTCTTGCTCACAGACTCCTGCAGGGCCAGGAATGTTGAAGAAAGGCAGAAATAGAAAGGATACTGATTATGTAGAGATTTAGAGCAGGGCAAAACATTAATATACAATAAAGAAAAGAAAACAGACAAGAGGAGTGGGTCAGTAGCAGAATGAAAAGGGCTCTTGGTAATAATTACAAACATTTTACTCTCAGTTTATGTTGCATGACAAATTTCACCCCATCAGGGCAAGCTTGCTAGTTTCTCTTCTTCTATTGGTAGGACAAATTGAAGCCCTTCCTACCAAGAACCTTGTGCAACCCATCAATTTTTCCTGTCTTTATTCTCCTACCCCCAAACACATCCTCCATGTTAAATACACTAAACCCACTGTGGCCCTTGGTCTTTTGCACTGCTCTCCTCCTGCGTGGAGTGATCCTACCCCTGATTTTTGCACATTTAAAAAAAATTTTATCAAGTTATATTTATATCAAATGCATTCATTTTAAAAGTACAATACAATGATTCGAGTAAACTTAGGGAACTGTATAACTATCCACACAGTCCAATTTTAGAACATTTCCATCGCTTGAAAACAAACTGAATGCCATTAGCAGTCACTCTCATTCTGAACCTGAGCCTCAGGCAACCATTAATATTATGTTTTTATAGATTTGCCTTTTCTGGTCAGTTTATTAAAGTGGAATTATATCATATGGTCTTTTGAGGCTGAATTCTTTCACTTAGGATACTGCTATTGAGCTTCATCTATCCTGCCTTTCTCTCTAGTTTCTTAATGTCGAAAGCACAAAAGCCACTGCTGCCTCAGAAACTTTGGCCTTGCTTGTCTCTCTGCATGGAACCACTCTCCCCTGATCTCAGCACAACTCACTCTTTTGTTTCATTCAATCTCTTCTTCTGCCCTCTTATCAGGACCTGCTTTAACTTCTTTATAGCAAAACTGCTGATACTATCGCTTGCTGTACATTGGCTATATTTCTCTTATTTTTACTATATAATATACAGCATCTTTCTTTAAATGTCTTCCTCTTCCTCCTAAAAAGTAATCCATGCATACATCAGGCATGGTTTTGTGCACTGATGGATTCTCAGTACCTAGAACAGTGCATCAGACACAGGAACACAAAATGTGATGAATACATAAAGCTAGAATCTCCTCATCTCTCCATAAATGATTAGACCTTTCTCATCAGTTTTTCATCTTTTCTTTCTATCTATTAACAGTTCTTTAATAGTTGAGAAGAATTTACCTCTAAATGCACCTGTCCCGCACAGAGCCTTCCCATGCCCTCAAATTCATTCCCCAGAGACACCTACAGAAACAGCAAGGGCCACAATCGGGAGGTGATTTTATCACTAACAATTTTATAATCAGTTACAATTTACAAATCACTTTGACTTATTTATCCCTTATATAAAAATCCTTGAGAAATAAGAGTACTCCCTTTCTTCAGATGTATAAATAGAATCAAATGACCTACGGATCATTCTTTTACAGAGACCATTCTATTATAAAAGGTAGAGTTGGGTGGACATACCATCCTCAGGATCCTCTTTCAGAGTTCTCTCCATTACTGCATGGATTTTAACAAAGACAAACAGAGGTAAAGGTTGTAAGAACTAGATGGATACCCATTGCTATGGAGGTGTAAAATGGAGATAACAAGACCAACTTTGTGGTTCTGGGGAGTCTTGTATTTGTAGATGGGATTTTACCTTGGCCTGGACATACAGCAAGAACATCTGTCGATGGGCACCTAAAGGAGTGTTTTTAGGGTGGAAAAGAACAGGTTCATATACACATAGGATCACACACATGACAGATACTCAAGAAACATAAATTCCAATGAGGAATCTGTTGGTCATGGGAGAGAAGACTCTACACTTCGTATGGAACAAAGGCCATAGGTAGAGAGATAAAGTCTGTTCTGTGTCAAACACATTGGGTGCTATTACAGGTTAAACTGTATTCCCCCAAAAGAGGTCAAGGTCCTAACCCCTAGTATGTGTAAATGTAACTTTACATAGAAATAGTGTCTTTGCAGATGATCAAGTTAAAATGAAGTCATTCTGATGGTCCTTAATTCAACATGACTGTGTCCTCACAAAATGAGGCTATTTAGAAATACAGATGGATATGCACACGTGGAGAAGGCCATGTGAAGACAAAAGCTGAGATCAGGGTGGTGCATCTACAAACCAGGGAACACCAGAGATTGCCAGCAAGCTCCAGAAACTAGCAGAGACATGGAACAGATCCTCCATCACCACCCACAGAAGGACCAACCCGGCCAACACCTTTGATCTTGTACTTTTAGACTCCAGAATTGTGAGAAAATAAATTTCATTTAAGCTAACCATTTGTGATGTGTTTTTTTATGGCAGCCCTAGAAAACTAATATAAATGCTTATGTTTCCTCTATTCATTTATTCTTTATTCTATCATTGAAGAAGTGTGACACCATTGAAACTCTCTCCACCTAAACCAGACAGACCGATACAGAGACAAAATGTAGGCTCCCCTTGGAGATGGTACAAATGTAGAAGTTTTTACAGTAGGGTAAGTGCCAACTAGATCCTAAGTTTCCTTATCTCACTATATCCTGATTGTCTGCACAGAGGTCTGCACAGTTTAGATGAGAAAAATGAAAGTGTCTCCACAATAAGGAGAGAAAGTCCTGTGAGGATTTTAGACAACATCCTTGATACTTCCTCTGTTCCCTGGGTCAGGAGCTGCCAGTGGGAAAGCAGGGCCTGTTCTTGGCATCCAGAGACCTGGGGAACTCAGAAGTGTTGCAATTCCTCTGCATTTCTCTACATTCAGAGCTCCCTCTTCTACCACCCCTTGGAGTCCAAGGTTTAATCTGCCCCACATGAATGGCCCTGTCCCCCAAGAGCTCAAGCTCTGAGGTCAAATTTTTTCAAAGCAGTCATTTTGTCATAGAAGTCCATGTCCATAAGGCTATGGCAGGCTCATCCCTGTCTGTCTCTTCAAATTAGATCCCATCCAACTGAGTCTTTTACCTGGATTTCTGGAATAGGTTCCCCACCAGTCTCCCTGATATTGTCATTCATCTTATACAATCTGCTTTCATCACTGTTCACACCACCAGCAAGAAAGACTTTTTTTTTTTAAGCTTCCATTAATCTTGCCATTCCTCTGCTCAAATACATGTCATTCAGGGGCGCCTGGGTGGCTCAGTTGGTTAAGCGACTGCCTTCGGCTCAGGTCATGATCCTGGAGTCCCGGGATCGAGTCCCGCATCGGGCT